AGATAGTTTTTTGTATTAGAAAGCAAGGAGTTTTTTCTCATATCTTGCTTAGCAACACTTAGGTGTTCATGTACTTCATCTGTGTAATCAGCTTGTAAGAAGCATATTAGTGCACAAAGAAAATACTTAAAAAAGGTGTTGTTCCTTGAGCGGTCGAGTGAAGACTAGAATGCTTGAGATGACTGAGTTTGTTTTTAACAGCTTAATGGATGTTGTTCCTTGAGCGGTCGAGTGATGACCAAAATGCTTGAGAGGACCAGGTCGTTGTTAATGGCTTGGAGGTTGATTCCTTGAGGGGCGAATGAATGACAAGATTCTCAAGAAGACAATGGAAGGTATCCATCGTGGTTCAATGATGATTATTGGATTAAGTCCTTGTGATGTGGCAAAATCACCTTGAGGAGTGGACTAGAGTAACTTTGTTAACAGTGAACCAAGATAAAAATAATTGTGTCATTTATTTTTATTGTCATTGTTATATTTATTCTTTTAATTCCGCAAAAGGGAACAAAATGTGAAACTCAATTCAAACCTCCCTCGTTCTTGTGTTTCTCAATCTTCAACATTTTGCTTGAGGACAAGGAATGGTTCAAGTGTGGGAGAGTTTGAAAACACCTCAAACTATCATTTATTTGACTTGACTTATGCATATTTTCTTATTGTTTTAATTCCATTTTCACTATTGTGGTTGTGTTTTTCCTTTGTTTTAGGAAATTTATTAATCAGGAGCTGTGGGCGAAGAAATGAAGCGAAATGGACGAAAAGCGAAGAATTGGAGCAGACTTCCATCTATGGCGACCACCATGTCGTTCATTCTAGAGGTGCCATGGGTGTTCCACGTACCAACTAGTGGGATGACCAAGTCATGCCCACTTTGTGAGCATGGCGGTCACCATGAGGTTGTGGTAGTCGCCACTCTTGAAAAATTCCAAACGGTTGGAGACAGACCATGCTTAGTCTCCAAGTCTCCATAAACTGTCCCTATATTCTCTCCACGAACTGGAAGTGGTTCCTTGGTGATTTGTAGGGTTTTAGACTCCTATAAATACCTCTTTCATGCCTTTTTCTAGGGTATTCAAGCTTAAGAAAACTAAAGCCAATATACTGTCGAATTGTAAAGCAATAATCACTTCATATCGGAGGATTATTGCATTGTCGATCGAGTCTATATCAAGTTTGGAGTACCTTGTACAAGTTTATTTCTGGAGCACTTTATTTTTGTCATTTACATTCCTTCAAGATTTATTTCAAGTTATCGCAATTTATATCAGATTCAAGACTCCGTTTGGAGCAGGTTTTTAATTCATTCAACATTTACATTTACTCGGTCTTGCCTTTATTTTCCTTGTCTTATTTAATCGCATTTGTCCTTTTCATCTTAATTAATTTCATAATATTTTTACCCGTCATTATGTTTACCTTTTCTCTCAAAACCATTTATGTTTTATTTTTCCTAAAGATGTCTGGCTAAATTATTGAATGTTGTCATGTGAGGATTGTCAATAGACGATGTTCTACATGTTGTCTCCTTAAGATTACCTTTGTGAGCTGTTTTGATTTAAACACAATTTTTCTGAGCTTATTTTAATTTGGCTTCACGAAAGTCATTAAGTGAAAATGTTGAGTAAGATCGAAAGTCGTCAGACATTAAAGACTAAAATTGGTTTGTCTTTGGTTAACAAATATCGCGAAAGCACTTTGTTAATTAATTAGGAAGCTTTAACCTTTCTAGAAGGGGGTTTTATAACTATTTGCGGACGCGTTTATAGATTTAGGACCCGGTTCCCTGAGCGAGAGCCAGGAACTCTTATTAGTTAAACTTTCCAATCAAAATCACTTTTCTATTAAGTTAAAAGTCTAATTTCTTTAAATTGAGTTTACTACTTTGACGCGGTAAGTGCCTTCCATATGTGACAAATGAAAGGTATAAATTAGAGAGTGAAACTCGGTTCTGAATACGCGGAAACGACAATTCCTATTGAATTAATTATTTTCTAAATAGGAAACATTGTCCCGTAAGTAACTTAGTAGAGACAATCAGAGCATTGTCGATTGATGTGAATTACATTTCAACATTGTTATTCATCTGTTTTTTTTTAATTCTTTTATTTTGTTTCGTTCCCATTAACTATTTCACTCGTCTTAGATAAACACCGTAACAATTGAAAATAATAGATCTTTGACTATTGATCTCTGTGGGATCAATATCTTTTAAAACTATGCGATAGGTTGTGCACTTGCAGTTACATCTCTCCTCCGATCAACGACACTCGAGACTTCTTGCTTACGTCCCTTAGATGAAGACTTCCCCTTGCTCAATCAGACTAGTTGAATAAAACTTTCACAACTCAAACACTTAAGCAATGATACTTACGTGACTTAAGCATCTTGGCTCAAGACTTGTTACTTGAATCCTAATGAGACAAGACTTTTTGCTCAAGTACATAACAAGAGACTTAATCTAAACTATTGAAGGCTCAACAAAATATAAAACAAGCTGTACATGATGCACGCATTAGAGGTACGGGTGATCACCATAACAAAGACCTAAAGCACTTAAGATTTCTAATATATACAATGGTAAAAAGTCTTAAGGCTTTTACAATTACAACCTAAAACAGAAAATCTGCATATTACATTAGAGTTGATAATTACTTAATCTTGTTAATCCTTCATTAGAAGAATCTTTGTTAAGATTCAAACTTGAATCTTCAACCATATATATAGCATTTTCAAAAACTAGCCGTTGAGGAAGTGACTTGATCAAGTAACTTTGCTTTTACTCCATAATACAAGAGACGTTAAAGATGGATGCACGTCCGATTCTGAATCCAGTGTGTAACACGTTTAACCTTTGAGTCTTCAAAAGGCTTTGTACTGATAGAGCAGTTGGGAGCAGACGTCTGTAGATCGTGTCAACCTTTCTTGAGCCTTGCAATCTTGTAGACTTTAGCTGACAAGCTGATAAGACAGTACAACTTGCTTTCTGCAGTACGAAAAATCCACAGTTTTATCACCAACTCTGAATGATACTAGATGTTGATATACAATTACCAAGTGTAGTAACTCGTCTGAATGCTAAGGCCTTCAACTCAGAGTTTGCGCCAAGCCACACTAGCAATTGTTCTTCAGACTCTGTCACCAGAAGCTAGCAATGAAGCAAGTCCCAAGTGTGTCTAAATAAAACAGATTCTGATTATTTATATAAAAGAACAAGAACCTGCATAAATAAAACACACATCAAATAAACCATTGTTCTTTTAATACTTTTGTTATTATCAAAAGTAAAAGAGAATATGTCAAGAACAAATCTTTTTCTAACAATATTCTTACACACACAACAATAAATATTATATGAGATTTACTCTAACCTTTCTTCTCCAATAATTCCTTGAGAGACTGTGGGTTTTATTAAACTAAAACTAAAATTTAAAAGGGTCACAATTCAACCTAATTCTTGTGATATTTCTAGCTTCTTCGGTAACTACACAAATTTTAATTTAAAATATATTTCGTACTTCTTGTAGCTAACCAATTATGTTAGACTAATTAATAACATGATTATGAAATGAACTAAAAAAACAACCATAATATTTTGAAGTGTACGTAGAGTTTAGACAATTTTTGCAGCTATAAACGATTAAGATAAATGTCACTTTTTCTTTTCTGTTCCTCAACATTGTCCGTTTCAGTTTTAATACAGGTAATATTTGTGTGACCTTTCTTTTTCTGTTGCATACACTCGTTGTGTTAAAGAGTTTCACCTTCATATTGAAATAAATCATCTTCATGGTTCATGAGATTGTGAATCATAGCAAGGGTCGACCAATTGACCATTTCAACGCCCACCTCCGGAAACGGAAACGATCACATGACTATAAGAAACATGTTATTGCAACGTGTTTCAAAATACGACTGACTATTCTATGCACAAATATTTACAAAGTTGTTATCATCTTTAAAGGTCTAAGAAAAAATCAATAATTAATATTCCCGTGAAGATTATTCTATTTCATTCTATTTAATGAACAAAAGTATAATCTAAATGTTAGAAAGAAAATTCCTACAACTACATTTGAAGTGTAATTACCCTTATAAGTTAATTTTCATTTCATATGTTTTATAATACACACTTCTCTCAACACAAATAAAATATGCAAATAACAAGAGGTTGAAAACCTATAGTACTTTTGAAAAGGAGATGAGTTTTGGTACTTTGGTAGGCCACAATTTCCCTCCAATGCCCACTATTTTGCCGTCCCTGCTAGTCTTCTTTTGTTGCTATCTTTACTTTTTCCTCCTCAATTAAATCTTTCTGCCTTCTTGGTCAGAAGATACTTCCACACCACACCACTCCCTTCTCACTTGTGAGTCATGACTAGTCACTTGTAACTTACAAACACAAAACAAAAACCATTAAAGAAACACTCTTTTACTATAACTCACCCATCTGTTTCACACACAATACACTTCACATACCCCTTTTAAAAAGCCCTTTTTTTTATAATTCATTTTTTTCTTCCTCTTCCCATTTCCCAACTCAAACTCAAACTCTTTGTCTTTTCCTCCTTTTTCTCTGTTCCCCTTTAACTACTCATACCCCTGCATTATTCTATCTAAACCCTAGATTTCAAATCTGGGGTTTTGTGTTCTGATTTTCCCAAGCTTCTGATTTTCCTACATTTTTTAGTTTCCTCTATAATTGATTTTCTGTAGCTGCAATGTTTCAGCTCTAAAAAAACGTTTTTTTTCCTCCCCTTCTTCTTCTGGGTAAGAGCTTGATCTTTTGTAGGGGTTCTTAGATTCGTAGTGATATTAGGTTTTAGAATTTAGATCCCCTTATTTTTAGGTAAAATTTCAATCTTTTCATCTTTGCCTCATTATTAGGAGTAAATCTAGTTTAACCCCTTTTATTATCTGTGTATTTAAGAAGTTAGGTTTTAGAAGATTGAAGAGGGTTTTTAACATAATTGCATAGGTACTCTTCTCATAGTAAATGCATGGATGGGAGAGAGGCTATGGCATTCTCTGGTGGTCCTGGTTCATATTACATGCATAGAGGAGGGGTTGAGGCCGCAGGGTCTGGCTCTGGTGGGTTCCAAGTACCTCCTGGATTCAGAGCGTTGCCAAACAATGGTATCATAGCTCAGCCAAATGTTAGGACTCAGGGTGGTAATGGTGACAGTAGTTCCATGTTTTCGTTGGAGCCTCAGCCTCATGCCGATTTTAATCATGAAATTAGTGCTGGTGCATCTTCCGGGGCACCTTCTAGTGAGCCTGTGAAAAAGAAAAGAGGGAGACCACGGAAGTACGGACCCGATGGATCTGCGTCTTTGAAACTGACTCCAATGTCTGCCCCTGCCAATTCCACTCAAGACTCGGGTACACCTTCCGAGAAGCGTGGTAGAGGACGTCCTCGGGGATCTGGAAGGAAGCAGCAGCTAGCTGCATTAGGTATATTTGTGTTTGATTGATAATTTCTTGTTGATTGGATTTGCAATTTGTGTATGAGAATGGTAATTTTAGTGCATATATTGAAATTCAAATACCTGATGAATATTTTGTTTAGATTCATGTTTACTGTAAGCTGGGTTATTGACACTCTATTCTTTAGTTTTGTATTCCATGGTTACTTGTTGGTAATGAATTCTACTTTGAAAATCTAAGTAAACATAGAAGAAATAATCGGATTTCGGGGAAATGTATTGAAACAAGCTGCCGTCATAATGATTTTGATTTCTGATGTTGGACTTGTGTGCTGACTTTGATAATTCAGTCCAGGTTTCACACTTCTGGATTTAAGATATTCATAAAATAACTGGACAAAGTTTTGCACCTTTTCCACTCATGTAACTTATTTATTTATTTATTATTTTGGCATGTGGGACTATTAACATCTTGCTCATCACTTTCTTAGGTGATTGGATGACCAGTTCAGCAGGGCTGGCTTTTTCGCCTCACGTTATCACCATTGCAGCTGGCGAGGTTTTTATATTCTTCTTGTTATTAACAACATTGATTTTCTATTCTTATTTTGTTTGTAGTACTTTTGTCAATTAGATGCAATACTGATAATATATTACAAGTGCAGTATAATTACTTTTATACCTATTGCCGCACGTCAATTTGTTCTGTGATGATAAATTTTGATTTTTTTCAGGACATTGCAGCAAAACTATTGTCATTATCACAGCAGAGACCAAGGGCTCTATGTATCTTGTCGGGCACTGGGATAGCTTCTAAAGTTACTCTGCGACAGCCTGCTTCTACCAATGCCGGTGTAACTTATGAGGTTAAATCACTAACTAATACTGTACAACATAAAGTGCTCAATATTGGTTATTATGGTTTACTAAGAACCGTTATTTTTCTTTTTTTGCAGGGAAAATTCCAAATATTAAGCTTATCCGGTTCTTACTTAGTATCTGAAGATGGTGGACCAACGAACAGAACGGGTGGCATAAGTGTTTCTCTTTCTAGCCGTGATGGTCATGTTATTGGTGGCAGTGTTGCTATGCTTATTGCTGGAAGCCCAATACAGGTATATTCTTGATTGCCCTAAAATCTATGCTAGAATTTCAATATTGGTTATTTTTCTTTTTGCATACTAATTTATGCTGTCAATACCGAAACAATATGTCAAAACAACTCAAGGTCTTAAAAAATGGGTTGTTGACAGAGATGCTAATATTTAAGTGCTTTATTGCTCGATGTGCAGTTGGTTGTGTGCAGTTTTGTATATGGCGGTGGCTCGAAGGTGAAGACCAAGCAAGGAATGATTACCAATGGGGAAAGTTCTGAGCCTCATAATGATAACCTAGGTTCCCCAGCCAGTGCTCCACCTGGTCAAAACTACATCTCTTCACCAACGGGTATGTGGCCGGGATCACAACCATCGGACATGAAAAGCGTACCCGCACATACCGGCATTGACTTGACGCGAGGGTGAAATTGAAGAGATGGCAGTTTTGTATATACATGCTGTTGTAAATTAGCTTGAGTTTGAGAGCATTGTGTGACTTAGCTTGTTATCTCCATTGCAGGGTGACAAGTTTTCACTTACATGCTTAAACAAAAGAATCATTTATGATTCTATTCTTGATTCATCCAACATTGTCTTGAGTTCGTCAAGTTCTAAAATCCTACTTTAGAAACTGCAGATAGTGTTTGGCTATGTCATTGTTTTATATCTGTTTCTTATTATGTATTACTAAGTATTACTCTAGAGTACTGATAATGATATCTTCCTTCTATGAAATTTGAGAACAAAATAATGTTCTGTGTGACATTAGTCTAGAGTCCAATGTCTAAACCAACTTGTATTGATTGATTACATTAGATGATGACACTTGTTTGTCATACTTGATTGGGTTCATCAACCCTGCCATATATTGATGCAAGTATCGTGTTTCGCCACATTTTGTAATTTACAGTGATTATGATCTCAGTGCTGACTAATGCATCAACTTTGCACATTTTGTAATTTACAGTGATTATGATCTCAGTGCTGACTAATGCATCAACTTTGCACATTTTGTAATTTATAGTGATTATGATCTCAGTGCTGACTAATGCATCAACTTTGACGAGTTTGTAACTAATCACCAAGTATGGTTCAATGCAACAATGATGTTTCTTTAGTTCATGACAATCACGCGTGTGCATAATTTCTCGAAGGAAAAATATTTCTAGGAATTTTAAGAATGATAAGAAAATTATTAGAAACACAATGAGCAATTTATTTTAGAAACCAATCCATTGTACATAACAAACATTACGAGTTCAAAAGGGAAACATTATTTAAAGTCAACAAGTGATGCTTTAATATTCAAGAAGACAGTAATCCTCTCTTCCATTCCGAGCTGAATTCATGTATGCATTCATTCAACACCAAGTAGTTTAGAGATGTCTCTCTGCAACACAATAAGACGCCAGAAGAATTACGTAGTTAACATAAACCACATATGAATTGATATTGACATATGTAAAAAAAAACCATGAAGTTTCGACTAATAATACTCCATGTACCTCAAGGCTAAGAGGAGAGGTTGTGGGATAATATCGATCCACCACTTGGCCATCCTTGTCAACTAGAAACTTTGCAAAGTTCCACTGAATATCATCCCCAAAAATTCCCCATTTACCCGACTTCAAGAATTTATACAAGGGAGCAGAGTTCTCTCCATTCACTTCAATCTAGCACAAACATGAACATGAACTTGTAAATTTGTGCATATTGATATCAGTCCTTCAATTCAAAGCATTTTAGCAGAAGTCAATTCAGAATATCAGTAATCTAATAATCTTTATCCAACAAACAACAACTAGTCAAGCAACATTTTAAGTTCATTATTGTTCACATAGTTTATAAACCAGATGAAGATCAACAAGGTTTTGGTTTATTGAAAGCCACACGCGATCATACTCAATTATTCTACTTTCTCAAATTGTTATAAATCACCCGACACAATAATTAAAACAAGCACCAAACATAATGCAGAGATACAAAATATCTACTCTCTAGTATTTAATTTAACCTTCAACATAGGCATCTCTAGACAAAATTGGTTCCAGGTTCATCCTCACGAAACAAATACCTTATCAAAGATGGGGAATTCTGATTTGAAGCGAGTGCAGACGAAATCCAATATTTGATCATTGGTTCCAGGTTCTTCCTCACCAAATTGATTACTTGGAAATGCCAGAATCTCAAACCCTAATCAAGTTACCAGTTCAGTCATCTAATTGAGAGAGAAATACATGTAACAACATGTTAACATCAATTCTCAAAACAAGAATGTAGTGTTATTAATTAGAAACCTTTGTGTTTGTACTTGTCATATAGTTGATTCAACTCCACATAATTTGAGTTGGTCATGCCACTGCCTCAATCAAATCAACACAAAACAAACAAAGTTGTAATATTATATACAATTTGGGGGTTTAAAATGAAATGAAGAGAAGGGGTTGAATATACCATTTGGAAGCAACGTTAACAATGAGAAGGACTTTTCCTTTGTATGTAGCAAGATCTACATCATTTCCCTTACCATCCTGCAAGTGAAAAAAACAACAAAAAGTGCTTTAAAATTATCAATATTACTGCAGATTCACATGGTTGCAGTCTTGCAGATACATATAAACAAAGAGTTGTAGTTAAGTGAAACCAGAAAAGAAGAAGAAAGTGAAGTGAATGGAAAGAGATGGTAGATAGAGAAGGTAACCTTGAGAGTGAAATCGTAGACAGATTTTGGGTCCTTGCTGGTTTCGGTGGTCATGTTTTGTAGCGTGGTGAGTGTGTGTAAACCCCGTTAGAATCCGAAACTGTATCGGAGTTTAGTATTAGAACAACCAAACCAAATTAAATCCTCAAATTTTCCTATCAATTTTTTTTACAAGTCAATACTCATTCTTTCTCCCTTTTTTTATACATAAATACTCCTTTCCCTATGTTTTTTCTTGGTGTAACAGTAGGCTGTATTGTTCTAGCATGATTCATGCTTAACAATAGGCTGTATTGTTCTAGCATGATACATAAATACTCCTTTCCCTATGTTTTTACAAGTCAGTACTCATTCTTTCTCCCTGTTTTTATACATAAACTTAATGCATTAGAGGAGAATACGTGTATTAAAAGAAAAGGTATTAGGGTTTAACGTGTCTTTGTTCTTTGTGATCCTCTCTTTTGTCTTTTGATATCTGAGTTGGACTGGGTTGTTTGTACTTTTTTGAGTCATTCATGTATCCTTTAAGTACTTGAATTGAATTGAGTTTTGAATTGTAATCACTCATAAGTTTTTAAATAAAAAGTGTATTTTTTGTGTCTTTAGAATGTGACTTACAGTGTTCTTTATTGTTGATAAGCTTATAAACCTTAGGTTATTTGTTGTGGCTTCAAACTAATACTATTAGTGGATTTTTTTCCTAGCTTGGATACCCCCAGATGTAGGTGAGATTGCACCGAAATGGGTTGACAGTTGATTGTGTTATTTACATTCAAGTATTTATTTTTACTACATAAGTGTTTGTGTTGTTCTGATCCAGTGTCATGACATCTTACTCAACATCTAGATTATGTGTGCCAGAATTTTAATTGGTATCAAAGCAGGTCACGCTATTATGCTTTTAGGTGAGCTCCAGGGAGAATTTTTTTCCTGGCATTATGGAAAAGGAAGGGGGAAGAAATGTGAACAGACTCCCCATCTTAGATGGCACCAACTATGACTATTGGAAGACACAAATGACGACTTTCCTAAAATCTTTAGATATCAAAACTTGGAAAGTTATCATCAAGGGTTGAGAACATCCTATGGTTGAAGATGAAGATGAAAAGAAAACTCTTAAGCCTGAAGAAAACTGGACCAAGGAAGAAGATGAGAATGCTATTGGAAACTCCAAAGCTTTGAATACTCTATTCAATGGAGTTGACAAAAGTATGTTTAGGCTAATAAATACATGCACCGTGGCTAAAGATTCTTGGGAAAATTTTGAAGACTACTCATGAAGGTACATCTAAGGTGAAGATGTATAGACTTCAGCTGCTTACTACAAGATTTGAGAATCTAAAGATGAAGGAGGATGAAATTATTCATGGTTTTCACATGAATGTTCTTGAAATAGCTAATGCTTTTAGTGCCTTGGGAGAAAAGATATCAGAAGAAAAACTGGTTAGGAAGATTCTCGTATCTCTTCCTAAGAGATTTGATATTAAGGTTAAATCTATTGAAGAATTCTAAAATATCAGCAGCATGAGAATTGATGAACTCGTGGGGTCACTTCAAACCTTTGAATTTACTATTAATGACAAAACTAAAAAGAAGAACAAAAGCATAACTTTTGTCTCCAACAGTGATGATGAAGAGGATGAATGTGACCTAGATACTGATGAAGGAATGTCCAATGCCATTGTTCTACTTGGAAGACTATTTAACTAGATGCTGAAGATAATGGAGAGGAAGTTAAGACCTAATGTCAAAAACGTCGGTCCTGACACTAGCAAGAACTATGATTCTCAAAGAAAAGCATGAACAGTAGAAAGGTCCAATCAAAATAAAGGGGTTCAATGTCATAAATGTGAAGTATTTGGACATATTAGAGCAGAATGTCCCACTTATCTCAAGAAACAACCTAAGGGGTTGACAATTTCTTGGTGTGATGATGAAAGTGAAAGTGAGGATGAATCAGCCAAACATGTATCTACTCTAAGTGGAAGATGGACATCTGATGAAGACTTCTATGATGAAGAAACTCCATATACTGAACTGGTTGCTTCTTACAAAGATCTATGCATCAGAAGTGACACGCAACAAGAAGCTATTTCTCAACTTCAGTTTAAAAAAGAGGAATATTTGTCCAACATCTATAGTATGCAGGATGAGGCAACTCTATTGACCTCCAAAATTGAAAGTATGACCAAGTCTGTCAAAATGTTGAACAATGATTCTGATATGTTAGGTGAAATTCTTCAAGTTGGAAAAAGGCTGGTTAGTTAAAGGGTATAGGCTTTGATGATCAACCTCTGAAAGGAGACACTTAAGTAACAAAATTTATCCCTCCTAGAAGGAAGCATGAGCCAAGGATGAAAATTCAAATGTCACAACATCATGTCAAACATCAGAACTTTCAATCTGGGAGCAATGGCTTGCATTGGAGATGCCATTACTGTGGTAAATTTGGTCATATTAAGCCTTTCTATTTTAGACTTTATGGATACCCAAAAGTTTCATCACAACTTAGGTTTAATCATACAGTGGTTAAAACTACTAGGAAGTGAGTTCTCAAGGAAGCTACCACTTCTCTTATTGCTCATACTTTCCTCAGAGCTTCAGCTAGAGAGGATTGGTATTTTCACACTGGGAGTTATAGACATATTACTGGAGTGGAAAAATTTCTAGTGAATATTAAGTCATACTCCACAAGTTATGTTACTTTTGGTGATGGTGCCAAAGGAGAAATTAAAGGAGTTGGAAGACTAGCCTGTACATGATTCTCTAGTCTTGAAAATGTGCTTCTTGTGAAAGGTTTGACTGCAAATTCGATAAGCATAAGTCAGTTGTGTGATGAAGTTCTGAAGGTCAATTTCACTGAACTTGAATGCTTGTTTACTAATGAGAAGAATCAAGTTCTGATGAGGGGAGCCAAATCTAAGTATAACTGTTATTTATGGACACCTCAATCAACAAACTATCCTTCCACATGTTTGATGTCCAAGGAAAATGAAGTTCAGTTGTGACACCAAAAGCTTGGTCACTTACATCTGAAAGGTATGAAAAAGATTGTATCTACAGAAGCTATTAGAGGAATTCCCAAGCTCATGATAGATAAAGGTAGAATTAATGGTGAGTGTAAAATTAGAAAGCAAACCAAGATGTCACACCCGAAGATCCAACATCTGACTTCTTCAAAAAATTTGGAACTACTTCACATAGATTTAATGGGCCCTATGCAAGTTAAAAGCATCGATGGAAAAAGGTATGCTTATGTTGTTGATGGTTTTTCAAGGTTCACCCGGGTGCACTTCATCATGGAAAAATCATATGTTTTTGAAATGTTTGAAGGATTATGTCAAAAGCTTCAATGAGAAAAGGAAAGCAAAATTGTCAGAATTAGGAGTGACCATGGAAAGGAATTTGATAATAGCAAGTTTGCTGATTTTTGCTCTTCTGAAGGTATCATTCATGAATTCTCTTCTCCCATTACTCCTCATAAAAATGGAGTTGTTGAGGGAAAGAATAGGATCCTTCAAGAGTCTATTAGAGTCATGCTTCATGCTAAGCATCTCCCATACCATTTTTGGGTTGAAGCAGTGAATAATGTCTATTATATTCATAACAGGGTTACTTTAAGAACTGGTACTACAACCACTATTTATGAATTATGGAAAGGAAGGAAGCCTATTTTCAAGTACTTTCATGTCTTTGGAAGTAAATGTTACACCCTGGCTAATTATGAGCAAAGAAGGAAAATGAATCCCAAGAGTGATGAAGGGATATTTCTGGGTTACTCCATCAACAACAGAGCCCATAGAGTTTTCAACATAATAATCAAGGCCATGATGGAGTCTATTAATGTTGTATCGATGATTCTACTATGGAGAAGCATAAAGATGTCAAAGATGATGTTGAGACATCATCCCATCTATTTGGCACCTCAGGAAATATGGTCGATGATGATAACAACAATGAAGATGCAACTATGGATTTTGATGATAATCAAGCTAACAAAGGCCCATCTATATGAATTCAGAAATATCATCCCAAGGAAATCATCATAAGAAATCCTAATGAAGGGATTATCACTAGATCAAGGGAGGTGGTATCCAATGTTTGCTTTGTCACTAAGATTGAACCCAAAAATGTGAAAGAGGCTCTAATTGATGAATTTTAGATTAATGCCATGCAAGAAGAATTAGAGCAGGCTAAGAGGAATGAAGTTTGGGATTTAGTTCCTAGACTTGAAGAAACTAATGTCATTGGCACAAGGTGGGTCTATAAGAATAAATCTGATGAGAATGGATTTGTCACCAGAAATAAGGCTAGAATTGTGGTTCAAGGGTACACTCAAATTGAAGGAGTTGACTTTGATGAGACTTTTTCCCCAGTTGCTCGTCTTGAATCCATTATAATATTACTAGGAGTTGCATGTTTGTTAAGATTCAAGCTATTTCGGATGGATGTGAAAAATGCCTTCTTGAATGGGTACTTAGAAGATGAGGTGTATATTGAACAATCAAAAGGGTTTGTTGATCCCACTTTTCCAGATCATGTGTACAAACTGAAGAAAGCTCTTTATGGCAAGGAACCCTAAGGAACTCTACAAATCGGAAGAACACATGCCTGGAACCTTCAACGATTTCAATGGCAAATTCAGGTACGCTTCCACTTTCATTCTCATAAATATATTCGGATATGGGTTTAAGGGATACAAGTTGATGCTACATCGACTTATAGGAATTATTTTAGAGTTGTGTTCTTGATTTCTATATCGGTAGAAATCATAAGGTTTTGAACGGTCTAACAAGTGGTATCAGAGTCACCCATATCTGATTCAATTTTGTTTTGGGGTTATTTAGGATCCTTTGATCTTCCAATTGTATAAATCAATATATGTTGTGTTTATGAGGTTTTTTTTATTAGGGTTCTAAAATTGAGATCCTCTTTTATCTTATAATTTTTTTTTGCTTAAAATCTTGAATCTGAAATGAAATGTCAGGTTGAATTTATCGTCAATTTTATTTGCTATTATACATAAACTTTTTGCTCTTACACTCTTTTGTTAT